TCCATTAGCTCGCTAACTTGTTCTTTTTGATTGTTATTTTGATTATTATTTTGCCAAAAATTTCCCTTTTGTGGCAAATTATAATTTTGGTTATGATTCCAATTATTTCCCATTTTAGTGGTAATATTATTTTGTCGTATTTGATCAAATCGTAAGTTGTTTCCCTGATATTTATTTTCAATTTTAAATCTTTTAAACCTGTTTGCGAATTGAGCACAGAAATTGTTTGATTCTAATTCTTGGACCTTTGCCAAATCTGGTGGATTTAATGAGAAAAGAGTTTCTGAAATAGATCCATTAAGTCCGGATATAAATATTCGTAGAGCATATATCAATCAGTAATTCGTCCTTGCCTGAGGATATTTAGTTCTGACTCGAGAATATGTATTGGTCGTTTATCATTATATATAAATTCCAATCGGGATAAGATTGCTTTAACGTTTAAAACTGTGCCATGATTGGTAAGGGCATCATGGGCAGCTCCGATAATCTTATTTCGTAAAATTATTAAGGCGATAAAATATTGTTCACTTTCAATTTTATAGAGACTCGTTAAAGTTTCTGCAGCTTCCCTCCAACCTACATATTGTGGGTTTCCCTGTTAAATTTGGTAAGGATTTTACCACTTCAAGTGGTGTCACATTATCACATTTTATAGCTAGGTCAATTGTTTGTGTTTTATAATCTTCCACCTTTTTTGCATCTGTGGCTAACCTCCCTTCTAAATCTTCTATTTGCCTGCTTACTTCATTCAATTGAATATTTATTAATCTATTTATCAATTCCACTGTTAAACCTCCGGCTGTGGCTGAATCTCCGGTTGCCATTGTTAAATTTAATTCACCAAACTTATTTATCAAATCTTCCAGATTTATTCTTTATATTATTCATTATTCATTAAATCGCGAATCTTATTATTTTGCAATGTATAAATCTTATATTATTTTTCTTAAATTCCCTGATCTTAATTTATAATCTTTAGTTTTGTATTGTAAATTAATTCCTCACGATACTGTCCCCTTGGGGTCTTCCTTCTGTGTTGTTGTAGGTTGATCTTTCTTCCTGGATTCAGTGGATTAATGGATAGAGAATGTCCTGCCTTCCTTCCTTAGTTTTTCTTGTGTGTTGTCGTTTTATTTATTTTTATTTTATTATATTATTTTTTTTTTTTGTGCGTTGATTTATTTATTTTATGTTCTTGTAATTGTTTTGTTTAAAATTTCGGTCCACCTTTGTTTTAATTCACTCTTTTTGGATTATTTCATTTATTAATTTCCATCACTGAAACTGAAACGATCACTGAAACTTTGTAGTGTCGTTTGGTTGATTTTTTAATTTTTCCACTAAAAATATTGAGTTGTTTGCCGCGCGAGTTCCGTATATGTTGTATGTTGTATAATAAATATCCCAAGTAGAACACCACACTTTGCTTTTTATAATTCCTTTATTAGTCTTGACTAGATCCGTTTCAGACTGCTGCTGGTGTTCGACTCGCTCCGCTCTCAACTCGTGATCAGCATCAACCCTCATTACTCGCTGAAAAAGCAATGAGAGCGTGAGAGCACAAGAGAGAGAGAGCCAGGACCGACAACAAGCAACGACAACAGTTTACCGTTATGCGATACACTTATAGCTTATATGTATATATATATACCCAAAAGTAGCAATCCTGCTACAATTCGGCCGTCCTGACATTTAAATTTCCCCTGATCTTGTGATATTTTACAATTGTTTCTTACATCTATTTGGCTTATTTACTTATTCTTTTATTTATTTACAAAAGTTTACATAATTTTTGAGTTTCATCTACGTTTACCTATCAAATGTTTAATGTTCTGACTACTCCAAACACCTTGATATGGAATACGTGACAATTGAAAACCTTCAACATCTTTAATTAAATACCTGTCATTTCCTAAAATTTTGTCTATTACAAATGGACCCTTATGTTAATTTTATTATTAGTTTTCTTGCAACGCCTACAGTGCAATCAAAATTCTTAACCACAATGTAATCACCTACCTTGTATTTTGAACTCGCTTTCTTTTTCTCATTGTAATTTCTTTCACTGTCTTTCTGCAACTTTGTTTGACACTCTGTTCCTTTTTTCCTAATTTCGTCTAAGTTCCTAACATTATTAGTATTGTCTAATTCTTCTAACTTTTGCCTTAATTCATCCATAGTTTTTCCTTTTTGTGCGATTCAAAATAACATTTTGCTCGGCATTTGCGCAATGCTCCTCTGCTTTGTATTGTTTAACGAAAACTCAACATCTGCAATAACTGTATCCCAATGCAGTCCCTTTTCTGAGTCTGCCAATTTCGCCATCATCGGTCCTATTATTCGATTAATTCTTTCCACCTGACCATTAGCTTGAGGTGACCCTGTTGCTATTTTTACGTGCTTAACATTATAATCTTCGAGAAATTTCTGAAAATCCTCAGATGTAAAACAACTGCCCCTATCCAAGACGATACAAGTCGGTCTACTATACGATCTGAAATAATTTTTCAATGCTGTAATAACTTCCTTTGTACTTGTTGTTTTTGTTGCATATAACCTGATATATTTTGTAAACCCGTCTATGACGACAAAAAGATGTTTATTTGACCTTCCCTTATCCACTGGTCCGTAGTGATCAATATGTATGATCTCAAATTCCCTTTTGGAATGCTGTGTAGTAATCCTTCTCCTTTTCCTGACTTTGGTGAAAACGCTACACACCTCAAACAATTATCAATATATCTAACAACTTTTTCTTTCATATTTGCAAACCAATACGTCCTAACAATTGCATCCATAACCTTATCTCTACCCAAGTGACCTAACTCATTGTTATATTTATATAGTATCTTGTCTTCCATTTCTTCTGGAACATAAAACAACAATTTTCCATCTTTTGCTTTCCTGTAAATTACTCCATTTCTCATCTCAAACATTTTGTCATCTTCTTTTTCTAACCTCATTCTAATTTTCTTTAACTTTTCATCTTTTGCTTGACATATAACTAAATTGTCTTCAAAACTCACCGTTTCTACTACACATATGTTAGTATTCCTACTTAAAGCATCTACATGTTGCATAAGCTTTCCTGCCTTATGAACTAACTCAAAATCATACTCGAGTAACTCTAACGCCCACCTCGCAATACGAGGGTTAAGTTCTATTCTGTTTAACGTCAACGTCAATGAATTACAATCAGTAACAATTCTGAACCGCCTACCTTTCGCCTAATTCTGAACCGCACATAAATTCGGAACCTTCGTAAAGCATAAATAATGGCTAACGTTTCAAGTTCAAAGCTATGATATTTTGCTTCATCTTTCGTTGTAGCTTTCGAAAAATAAAATATAGGATTCAATTTCTTATACTCTTTTCTCTGTAATAGTACTGCACCAAAACCATGTGCACTCGCGTCTGTATGTAGTTCTACTTCATCCTTATAATAATATAAACCTAGTACCGGTGCTTCTATGAGCTTTTTTTTTAGCATTTCAAAACAATCTAACTCTTTTTCTTCAAACACGAATTCGCAATCTTTTTTTCAACAAATCATATAATGGTTTTGCAATCCTCGAAAAATTCTTTATGAATCTTCTAAAATATGAACACAATCCTAAAAAGCTTCTAACTCCATGCACTTTATTGGGGACTGGAAAATCTCTGATGGCTTCAATTCCTTTATCGTTTGCCTGTATTCCTTTGCTCGACACCAAATACCCTAAGTACTGAACACTCGCTTGTAAAAACTCGCATTTATCCATTCTTAGTTCTAATTTGTTCCTTGCTAATCTTTCGAAAACTTGTTTAAGTATACTCAAATGCTCTTCAAATTCTTTACTTGCGATCATAATATCGTCCATGTATATAACCACATTTTCTTCTCTTATCATGTCTGCAAAAATCTTATTGATAAATCTTTGAAACACCACCGGTGCGTTTTTTAGCCCCATTGGCATCCGCATAAATTCGAACTGCCCTAGCGGCGTCATAAATGAAGTATATTTAATTGATTCGTTCTTAACAAACACATGAAAGTATCCATGTTTAAGGTCTAATTTCGAAAATATAGTCTTATTTACTAATGTGTCCAATAAATCATCAATTAAGGGTAATGGATAATTATCTTTAATCATTGTCTTATTAAGCTTCCTGTAATCCAAACAAAATCGCAAATCACCTGTTTTTTTCTCGACTAACACTATTGGAGATGCATATTCTGATTCACTCGGCCTAATAATTCCCTCTTCTAAATACTCGTCTAATATGCTCTGTAACTTTTCTCTCTCTGTATAAGCTAACCGTCTCGGAGAACTACTAAAAGGTTTCGAGTCATCCAACCTCAGCTTTATTTCGCACTTAACCTATGGTTCCCTTGGTCTTTTTTTATTAACATAAAAATTTTCTATAATATTAATAAATTGCTGTCTAACCTTATACTCAACTTGTTCACCAATTTTGTATTCTACCGATTCATCTTCAATATTTATATTCATCAGTTTTTTTTCAACTACATTTATGTCGAATTTCGTTGCTTCTTGTAACCTAACTGCATTTCTAATCTTTTTTTATTACTTACTATTAATTCTTCTACTTCTTTGCTTATTATCCGATTTTCATCATTAACCTTACTAACATCACTAATTCTTCTCTGTTCAACATCAACATCACTAACTATCTGCTCTTCATCACTAACTTCATAACTGTTTTTAACCTTCTCTAAATTTTAGAATAACCAACTTCAAGGTGTCAAGGTTCAGATTTATATCACATGCTTCCATAAAATCCCTAAAAGTTTGCCACCACAAATGTAAATGAAAATGTACTTTATTAAATTTTTTATTTTTCTAATTGTTCTTGACCTCGCTCTTAGCTTTGTTCTTCAGGCACTTAGCCACAAAATGTCCCATTTCGCCACATGCATAGCACGACCCTTTCTCTCGTCTCGGCTTCCTGCACCCCTTGGCCCAATGTTCTCTAGCATTGCAATTATAGCAACGCTACAACGTGTCCTTGCTGTCCTTCTCGTCCTTGTCCGCCGCTGCCTCCTTCTTGTCACCATACGATTTCGGCAACTTCACCTCCGCAAATACACGTTTGATGTGTGCAATATTTTCAAAGCACTGAATATGTTTGCGTGTAGCCACACGTTTGCTTTTCCTTTTATTTTACTAATCATCAGCATTTTAATGTATTTTCCACTAACTCCATAAATGGTTGCAATATTGTTAATTTGCGTAATCCATTTTCGTGCGCAAGTTTCGCCCGATCACTCACAACTTGTGTTGCCATGCCCAATGAAGTGTCGATGCTTGGGTTGTGAAATTCCAAAAACTCGGACTTCGAAACGTTTCCTTTTTTCACTTCTTCAGTGGCGCCTTCTTTTGCGCCGCTGTTGCCGGCGTCATTCCCGTCATTGCATGCATAATTTTCATTTTTGTCTTCTCCCTCGCCGCCGTCTTTGTTGTTGTTTTTGCTGCCGTAGCTGTTGTTGTTTTCGCCGCCGCCGTGGTTGTTGTTTTCGCCGCCGTCGCTGTTGTTGTTTTTGCCGCCGTCTTTCCTGCTGCTTTCGCATCCATCTTTGCTGTTCCTTTTTCCTCCGTCTTTTCCACTTCGATCGCCGCCAACTTTTTCCTCATTTTTATCGCCATCTTTTCCTTTAGTTTCACCTCCGAGTTTGTCGTTTCCTTCGATTCCAGCTTTGTCGTCGTTGTTGCCTCCGTCTTCGTCGCCATTATCGCTGCCATTTTCTTGGCTTTCTAATTCCAGATCCTCTTCATATTCGTCTTCATCGTTGTCTCCATCGCCGTCTTTATCTTGATTCATGATTGATTTCAGATAATTACGCTTTTCCGTTGAAAGCGCAAGCTTTATTTAAGCGCAATATTAATTCGCACTTCGTTCCCGTGGTTAGTAGCCGTTACACACTTAGCCACTTTTTGAACTGCGTAATCGATGCGTTGTTCATGTCCATTTTTGATTTATTTAATTATTTATAATTGTTTAATTTAATTTAATTGGCCCTCTCGTCCAAAACCGACAAAAAGCAACGAACACAGATTACCGTTATGCGATACACTTATAGCTAATATATATATATACCCAAAAGTAGCAATCCTGCTACAATGTTTAACTTATATTTTATAAAATATTTTTTTTTGAAACTTTATGTGACGCGGCGCAACGTTGGGCGCCAATAAAACTTGCTGTTTGTCGGTGAAATAAAAATATATAACTTTTTATTTCGAATTATAAAACTTGGTGTTAAACCTTTAAAAGTATGCAACGCAGTGAAGCAAAACATTACGACATGCCAGATTTCATAAGGATCGGCCGACTATATCCTATAGCTGCCATATAACTGAACGATCGGAAATGACCCAACTTACGAGACTCAACTTACGGTCGACTATATCTTATAGCTCCCATATAACTGAGCGATCGGAAATGGTTTTTGGTAGAAATATCAACTTTGGTATTTTTGAAGAAAGAAGTTTAGGACTTTTTTTATATTTTTTATTTTATTAAATTGGGTTATATTATCATATTCTCATATCATATTTTTGCGATATATGTCCTGTTTCAACTGCAAGGGTATATAAACTTCGGCTCCGCCCAAAGTTAGCTTTCCTTTCTAGTTGCTTCTAGGGGGGCGTTGATTCCGCAAAAGACTCAAAAGGGGATGAAATGAAAAGTCGGGGGCGTCTTCAGTAATTTACAAAAGAAGCGCGTTCAGCTTTATTGGCTGCGTACATCGAATTAAAAACTTTACTTAGAAAGAAAACAAGGCAAAAGTAATAGAAAAAATACGATCGACGACGGCCGACGAAGGAGCGAGAGCGCAAAGAGGGGCGAGCGCGGATGCGCTCTTCAGCGCGGTGCGCTCTTCAGTGCTGGTGCGCTCTTAAAGTTGCGGCACAACGGCCCCTCACGTAAACATCCTCCCCCCCCTTGCAATCGCTCGGGTTGCAACAGATCCCTCGTCGTTAGCTATGCGTCACTGCAGCTAGAGGGCGTACACGGGTCGATGAAGGCCCCCGTGTCGAAAATCCGGGTCCCGATGTTGACGCTGTTCCGTTTCAGCAGCGACGATAGGGTGGGCGCAGCGAGCGCGTCCTGCGGGGGCCCTCGAGGAGAGGCGGAAAGTTGCTTAGGCGCGGATGACGCGGGCGGAAGAGCGGTGGACGGCACCCGATGAGTGGCGGACGAAAGCAGTGGAGCGCTTGACGACTGCCAGCCAGTGGCGGAAGAATGCCGAGGAGTTGCCGACGAGCGCCGGGAAGTCGATGGCCGTGGATCGGCTTGTGAGTGCCGGAAAATGGCGGACGCAGGGCGAGAAGCACCCGAACCGCGCCGGGAGTTGGCGGATGACGGCCGACGAGAGAGCGAGACACCAGGTGTACTGTCTCCCGTGGGCGGTGACCGGTGCTCCTTGGTCCCAAGGTGCAGCAGCATGTGGTGATCCTGACCACACGTCTTACAGCCGTCCCCACGCCGACAGGATCCGTCGGAGTGCTCGTGGGCCAGGCAGCTCGAGCAATAGCGGTTCACGAGAACCACTCGGAGCCGCTCTTCGGCACTAAGGCGTAGGAAGCGCCGACACTTCTTCAACGGATGGATCCCATTGCAGACTCGGCATCGGTAGGATAGTGTACCTCGAGTACATCTGCTCTCCTGTGACGGGGCGTTGCGTGGGCGTGGCGACATCGTGCTGAATATGACCTTGGAATCCAGAATTAGACCCGGATCAGTCGGATCATCAGCTGATTGCCACCGTGCAGCGTAATGCGATGTGTAAATCGAAGGAGTCGTAACAGAATTATGCTCGCATCCGGAATCGAAACCCTGAACCAGTGAGTCACCGAGGCTGCGGGCAACTCGTGCGGAAAAACAAGACACGCTGCGGGGGTTGGCTGGAGATAATGGGCCTGTCAGCACCCATCCGAAAATGGTCCCCTGACCGAGAAGCGACCCGCAGATGTTAGCCTTGGAATTACCGAGAAAAATGGACGGAAGAATGTCAGCTCCTAATAACACATCGACTTGGGAGCTCTCAAAGAAGTTGGGGTCCGCCAGGGTAATATTGGGCAGCCCCTTGAGACGATCTCGCGAAATCGGATATGATGGCAGATTTCCTGCCAACTGCGGAAGAACGTAAGCCGCAGTCTCTAATTGTAGCCCGGGTCTTGACGGCGACCGAATAGAGAAATGGCACAATTTAGTAGACTGCGCGGAAATGGTTTGATTAAGGCCGGAAACTTGGGCTTGAATCGTCTTGAAGGGAGGCTTGACGAGGTTGAACAGTCGTTCCGTTATGAACGTCGCTTCGGAGCCTGAGTCTATCAGTGCTCGTGCTTGGACGGTGCACCCCAAATGGCACACGTTGATAAGGGCCGTGCCCAGTAGGACGGCTCCTGACCCGGAAGCGAAACACACCTGCACATTAGACTGATCCTCGGGGCCGTTTGTTGACGTAGGCGGACTTGGAGCGGTAAGCTGCGTAGGCGGACTTGGAGCGGTTGCGAATGGATTGCCGCGGTGCAAGAGGGTGTGGTGTCTGCTGTGGCATGTGGAGCAGGTATGGGCGCTCGTGCAGTCTCGCTGCTGGTGCCCTCGGGCAAAACAGTTTAAACATAACTGCTTCCTCCTTATGTAGTCAGAGCGCCCATTTACATCCATTTCTAGGAAACGCGGACATAAGCGAATGGGGTGGTCCTCCCTCGAACAGAGATCGCAGCCCTTTTGGCCCGGAACCACTCGAGTCTCGTATGAAGTGAGCCTCCGAGCAGGGGCAGTAGGAAGTCCCGACCTTTGCGGAAATTGAACGGAGCCACTATGCCTGACGTCGTCGATGGCCTCCAGAGTGCGATGGCGCTCTGTCAGGAAGTTATCTAATTCCTTCCATGTTGGAATCTCGGCCTTATTATGTACGGATTGCTCCCACATAGAAAGTGTGACCTTGGGGAGCTTTGACGAAATCATAAATACAAGGAGACAGTCCCAAGCCTTAACATTAACGGAGGACATTTCTAGGGCTGTCAAACAACTCTGAATGGTAGCTTGCAGCTCCTTCAGCGCGACCCCGGACTCTTGAGAAATAGCCTGGATGTTGGAAAGGGTCTTCAACTGGCTGTTGACCAATAGCCGCCGGTTCTCAAAGCGGTCTGTGAGGCTTTGCCATGCGGCGACAAACCCCTCATGGGTAAGCGGAGCCTTAGAAACAATGGCGTGGGCGTCACCACTTGTTTTGTACAATAAGTGGAACAACTTCTCTACCGGGGTGAGCCGCGAGTTTTGGAAGTAAATGGCCGTAAACAAGTCTCTGAAGGTGGGCCACCGAAGATAATCACCCGCGAAGACCTCGGTATCGACCGGAGGTAACCGGCAGCCTGTAGGCGCGGGCGTGTGGACATTGACGGGAGCCTGAGTGGATTGGGAAGCAATTTTCTCCCGAAGCTGGGCAATACATCTCGAATAGACGGAGTAACAGTAGCTGTACTTCGCTTCCAGCACTGTCGAGGCGGCCGCATTATCGTCGGACACGGCTAGCAAATCGGAGCAGCTCTCATAGCTCTTCTCCACCTTCTCCCATAGTGCCTGAATTTGGTCCCGATGAACTTCGCACATGACTTGGGAGCCTATTTCCGTTTCTGGGGCGCCCGGAGTATTTATGTTAGCCTCAAATTGGATAATTCGATCTGTTGTGGCGATGAACTTTTTCAACGCCACTTCGACCGCACTTGGAGCCATTTTTGCAACGGAGTGAGTCTGCCTCTGTGAAGGACCGGGGGTTGTATTGACGGATTCGTCACTCCTTGCCCTTGTACTGGCCTTAGGCTTCAAAAGAGGCGTCCGCGGAGATGCGGATTGAGATCTGTCCAAACGGATGGCTGGGATCGAACGCGGCTTTTTGTCGTCTCCCGTGGGCATTCTCAGAGTCCAATTCGCTGGTCAGCGCTTGTCGACTGACTCGCGCAACAGATGCCCCGTACGGAGTGGTGGCCGGTCGCACTAATGTGATGAGAACGGTGAGATCGCGGATGAAAGGCAATTACAAGGAGCAAGTGCGAACTAGTGGCGCCGATGTGGAAAGGAAAGTCGTGTGCGGCACAATTCGAATGTGGAAAGAAAAACTTCAGGCACCAGAAAAAACCCAAAAGGAGACGAGGTTTGTTCGGATTGTAGGCGGATGTTGCCTGATGCGGAGTAGAAGCAGAGTTGGAGGCACGAAAAATGGAAAAAGTACCGGAAAATTCGTGCTTGTTCGGAAAAAAATGATGACGGTCTATATATGTATGTATATTAGAGGTCTGCATGAATACAGTCAAAGCAGCATTTGGCACTCTCACTCAAAGTTCTGACTGACTGAGTGAGACATTGAGTAAAACGGATTTGGCAAATGTGGTAAAGGCATGAGTAAAAAATTTACTCTATCCGAACGGCGACGCAATAACCAAATGAGTTTTGTAACCGAGTACTCGGTTAGTTGTGCGTCGCATTTGTGACGTCAAATTTATTTTTTGTTTTTGTTTTTGTGTTGCTTTTCAACACAAGAAATAGAAAAAAAGAAAGGCATGGATTAATTATTATATATACATATGTATGTATGTATGTCCTTTATTTAATTTTTCATAACAGAATGCAAAAACATAATTTTTTTTATTGTATCTGCATTGTTAGCAATAATACATCGCTTTTCAGAAATTAAATTTCTGGCATCTGAAAAGGCTCTTTGCAGGTTGCCGAGCTGCTTGCAGGTATACAAAAAATTGTGCAACTAGTTTTAGCTTCTGCTCTAACTGCAATGAATGACGAGAATGTCAAAA